GGGGGTCGAACGACCCTTTCACAGGGGTCACCTAAGACCATCGGAAAACACATATATGATTACATATTGTTTTTGTGATTAATCACTGTGCTTTAATTATGTTTAATTATGTTTAATTTGTAACAATGAAATTGGGGGTCACCACAACATGAGGAACTGTATTAAAGGGTCGCGGCATTCGGAAGGTTGAGAACCGCTGCTGTAGAGTCTACAGTGTAGACGATGGAGTTTGTGGCCCCTCCCTCTTGAGTCCTGAGTGTAAGGATGCAGGCTATATCCTCTTTGGGAATTGCTTCTGGGACCCACATAGGGGCCACACAAAGAACCTAGTTTATCCACCTTACACTTAAACAAAAATTACATGGTGACCCCAAGTTGATCACCCACTGAAATGGAGCCCATTGTCAGGGCAGGCAGATGGGCTCCCATTGGGGCGCCCAAGAGAATGAGTTCCTGAGAGAATTCCCAGCAGGAGGACGAGGCATCCAGCCCCCCAGGGGGACTCTTTGGAAGGGGCAGTACCTCTCAGCCCTCAGGATGCAGTGGACTCGAAGGACACTTGCTAAGTGACCTCATGAATGTCTGGCAGGTGTGTTCTTCATTTGGTTAAAAATAACAAAACAACAGCAAAAATGACACCCAGACCATGTAACGTATGGGGCTGCACTACCATGGTTAGAAAGGATAGAGTCAATCTTACAAGCCTGAGGACATCACGCCACAGATATTGCCCGTGGAAGGGCCCTCTGAGACCATCTAATTCAGGGCCTGCAAACATAAATGCCTCTAAGGCCATGAGGTAATGTGCTTGAGGGAATCAGGTCGAGTGTGGCACCTGAGAATCGGCGGGGTGGGGGTGGGGGATAGGGGGTACAGCACACCGGAGCATGAGAGCATGCACGCCCATCATTTTACCACTGCTCACACTTGAGTGGTACCCACTACAGCTCCAGCCGCTGCTCTAAGAGCATTCTGTCTATTAATTCATTAGTCCCTCACAACAATATTGTGAGGTGGAGATTACAAGTAACCCCACTTACTGATGAGAAATCCAAGGCAGAGAAGTGACACCACCAGAGAAATGAAAATGGTAGAGCCAGGAACTGAACTGAGCTCCCAAGTGTAGGCTTATAACCAGCACACTGCCCCAGCTAAGGGCTTCCCATTTCAAAATTTCTGGAGACTCTATGAGAGCAAAACAAGCCACACCTGCAGCCACTTAGGCTGTGAGTTTGCAACTGCAGAGATCCCAGGGCCCTCATTTCTCAGGCGAGGGAGCTGCAGCCTCCAAAGGAGAAGGTTTGCACCATGTGTGACCTGCTGGTTAATGACAGACGCCAGGAGAGAGCGCGGCCTTGACCCCCACCCGCCTCGCAGGCTTGCCCGCACCCCACCCTGCGGCTGCCTATCCCTCGGTGCAGGAGTGGGACCGAGTGGGGGTGAAAGCCGCTTACCCTTGCCCAGGCCTGAGATGGCATCGGTGATCACCACCACTTTGTTCTGCACAGCCGACTTTGACCACAGCCTGGACACCTCTTGGTAGATGAACAGAAGGCCGCTGATTCCCAGCAGCAGCAGAGGCAGGGCGAGCACTGCTGTGACCCCCATCTTGTTCTGGGGGAAGTGGCAAAAAGGCACTGGCTTTGCACAGGGCTTCTGACCAAGACACCGGGGGCGGGAGGTTGGGGGGAGGGGCGGGGGAGGCCCGGGCTGCAGGGTGTAGGCCCTCGTGCACCAAGCCCTGAGTGCCCTCAGGAGCCGGGCTCTGTGCAGCCCCAGGCTGCTTCCGAGCTGAACACCCTGCTAATCCCCCCCAGTCTGATACATAGGAAATTACTCACGGCGTCTCCGAAAGCAACGTGAATCCAGGGGCCTGCCCTCCCGAAGGTTAATTATAAATTTAATTAAAACGAGTCTGCATTTTTGGAAGGAAGTCCATGTGTTAAGGCCACTTGCTTGGGCCCTAATGGCTATTTATAGGGCTCAGGGCACTGGAGGGCTTTCAGGGTAAATATAGTGTCTGCTCTGAGATTCTCGGACACATGCTGGCCGGCTCTGATTTCAGGGCTCTTGCCAGCACTCTGACAGCTCTCCGCTTGCCTGGCTATTGGAGGTTCCTCTGCCGTTCGAGGCTGGGTATCCGGGGGCAGGACCTGGGATTTCAGCGCCAGCATCCTTGCCCTCGCTTCCTGTGGCCCTCCTATCAGGTAGCTGCCGGGTAGCTCGGACTGGCCTGGCAGCGAGCCATCTGGCCTTCCCGTTCTGGCTGGGGCTGAGAAGCATAGAAAAGCTGTTCCATGGAGTAGAGCCTGTGGCAGAATAAGCCACTTGGAGGTGTGACAGGAACGATTAGAAAGAGCAGGGTTTGGGGAGCGTTGCTCACTCGTCATGGTAACCCATCTCACTGAGGCTCCGCTTCCTCAGCGGTGCAGTGGGCATCACAGTATTCTCTTGCAGGACTGTTGGGAGGAAAAGTAAGATACTGCCTGTTAACCCAGAATAGACCCTGTCTCACAAGAAGAGGACTATTGTTATCTTTAATGATTATTAAGAATTTATCCCGCCGTAACCAGTTTGGCTCAGTGGATAGAGCATCGGCCTGCGGACTGAAGGGTCCCGGGTTCGATTCCGGTCAAGGGCATGTACCTTGGTTGTGGGCACATCCCCAGTAGGGGGCGTGCAGGAGGCAGCTGATTGATGTTTCTCTCTCATCGATGTTTCTGACTCTCTATTCCTCTCCCTTCCTCTCTGTAAAAAATCAATAAAATATATTTTTAAAAAAAGAATTTATCCCAAATGTCAAATATTTTAATTTTACAAGGGAAGCCGGAAGGATTGGAAATGGGGAGACATAAATAGCTAATCTCCAATTCAAGTGCTCACACCATCAAAACCCAGGAAACCGATCATAATCACACCTTCATTTGTGTGGTGACGATCATTGGGCAGGAAGTGGGGCAAGGAGCAGTGCATGGGGTGGTGGTGGAGAAACGGCATTTCTTCCTTGGAAATTAAGACCGACCAGAAACATTGTTTTAAAAACAACAACTTTTAAATTTTTTTTATTGATTGATGAGAGAGAGAGAGACCTGTGTTCCACTTATTTATGCATTCATTGACAACCAACTTTTTATTGACCTGTAATCTACTAGAAATGTGCACGTATCCTAAGTGCGGCACTTTCTGAATCTTCGTCAACCGAACATGTCCCTGCAATCAGCACCCAGATGAAGAAACAGAGCATTGGTCCTGGCCTGTGTGGCTCAGTTGGTTGGGCATCGCCCTAGGCACTGAAAGGTTGCGGTCGATTCCCAGTCAGGGCACATGCCTGGGTTTCAGGCTTGGTCCCCAGTGGTGGGTGTGCAGGAGGCAGCCAATTGGTGTTGTGGTCTCACATCGATGTTTCTCTCCCTCTCTTTTCCTCTCTCTCTAAAAATCAATTTAAATTTTTTTTTTAA